TGATAGAACAAAGCAAATTTGTTGATTTCACTTAGTAGGAAAATATCTTTGGTGGTTCTTGTACTATATCAGGCTTTGATACCATTTCATGGATCAGCTAAACTTCAAGGTTAAGCTTAATATCCAAAATGGTTTTATATCTAAGTTCTTTACTCTGTTCAGTACAACACTTCACTCAAATCTTGCATATCTCTGAATGGATTTGGCAGGTGTTTTTATTCCAAAAAGCGGCTATTTATAAATGTAACATGGCTGGAAAACCTGCTGTTGTCACACGTGTTGTGGACACTATGACTGATAACCTAAGACCTACTCGTGCTGAAGCAACTGATGTTGCCAATGCAGTGTTGGACGGTATGTCTTATTTTTCTGATATAGTTCCTTTTTGTTATATTTGGTGAGTCTTGTTTCAATTTTGATGAATTTATGCATTATCTAGAAACTAGCATTGGATGCAAGACATGTGTCTATTTAATTAGGAATACTCTAGTTTTATAGTGTTTATTTATGGTTGTATCATCTCTAATTGTTTTTTCTATTTTGTTGGTTTAGGCAGTGATGCAATTGTTCTCGGGGCAGAGACTTTGCGGGGATTATACCCTGTAGAGACTATTTCCACCGTTGGAAAAATTTGTGCTGAGGTAGGAACTAGAATGTATTCTTTTTTAACCAAACATTAACTAAGGTCCCCCAAACACATGGAGTGTCCGAATGCTTTTTAAGGTGCTAGGAAGACATTCTCTTAACCAGCCGCTCTTTGCAGGCAGAGAAAGTTTATAATCAAGATTTATATTTCAAGAAGGCTGTCAAATTTGTGGGAGAGCCAATGACTCATTTGGAATCAATAGCTTCCTCTGCGGTACTTGTCTTTTTCACTAAATTTTATGTGGTTGTTTCAAATTTTTTCTCACTTCTGTTACACTATGCACATGCTTAAAGAAATTTGTGCTTAGTAAAATACATATTTGGGAATAATTTCGTTGTGTCAACATGCAGGTTCGGGCAGCCATCAAGGTTAAGGCTTCAGTCATTATTTGCTTTACTTCATCTGGAAGGGCTGCAAGGTTTCATTTCTCTTTCTTATCATTCCCCTCTTATAATTTGAAGAGCTTTCTAATGTTTTGAAGCCTGTTTGAATACAAGTTAGAAGTGTTTTTGAGAGTTTCTCTATTAAAAATAAAGAATATTTTTCAGTAGAAGTTTTCAAAAGCACCTTTAAGCTTATATCCAAACAGACTCTTAGGCATCAATGCAAATGTTTTTTGCATTTCTTGTTTATTAATAATTAATATTAAGTTATTATGTTAATACCTTCTCAGTTTATGTTGGGTTGAGTTGACAGTTGCTTGTTATTTTGTTGCACTTCTGATGTCTTGCTAACAAATCATTTGAGTTATCTGTTATTGTGTAAATCTGTAGGCTGATTGCTAAGTACCGACCAACGATGCCTGTGATATCTGTTGTCATTCCTCAACTAAAGACAAATCAACTTCGATGGACTTTCACTGGAGCTTTTGAGGTATTTAATTGACAACTTGTCATGAGTTGTTTCATGGAGTATTCACATAGATGTTAGAATTAAAATGATGCTAGTGAATGGTTGAAATTAGGAGAAATTTAAATGACATCAACTTTGGTATGAATCCTGAAGCTGACCATCTGTTTTGAGTGAGAGTCAGCATGATTAGGTTCCTTGAGTCAACCCAGTATTTTTCACCAGAAAAATTTATTTAAAGCCTGATTGAAATACTTTATATCTTCTCTTCTATATTGGTGCTTGATATTAAAGCCTGATTGAATTACCTTCTCTTAGGCTACTCATTTTTTATTTATTTATATTTTTTTAAAAAGATAGATATGTTAAAATGTCACAATGTGTTTTTTTTTCTTTCCTAACTAAACTGATTCAAAGGAATATGTTTTCAGTTGTATCAGCTTCTTCTACCATTGATAACTTTAGTTTTAGATACAGTAGAATATTGATTAGTTAACTTTGACTTTTGTGTATATATATATATATATATTTTTTTTTTCTCTTTAAGCACTATGGTGAACCTTCCTTTGGTTTATAAACTATTCATACAAGCAATGCTCTGGAAACCTTGTGGGATAATCCTTAAGAGTATAAAAACTTTGCTTGTTTGTATTCATTTCCATGTAAAGAAGCCATTATACAAATGTAATTCAAACTTGATTGGAAAATGGAGAAGAAAAAAAAATGCTATTTTTCTGTGATTTTAAACATTAGTTATTTAAACAAACTGTTTGTTTTCATTATTTTCTTGACTTATTATAACATTTTGCATTTAAACTAAACTGGTTTGCTGTTTCTTTTCATGATTCTATGGCAGGCAAGGCAATCACTTATTGTGAGGGGTCTTTTCCCTATGCTGGCAGATCCCCGACATCCTGTAAGAATGATTTGATGTTAATTAATTTAGTGATGTAAAATGGGGAATGCAAACCGATGGAAGATCTCAAAACCTCGGAAATTCTTATATTGTGCAAATCAATTAAAAGAGATTCTACTATCAAACCTAACTTAAGAAACCACATGCAGAATAGAAAATAAAATACTTGTCCAACTGAAAGTAAGATATTCCGAGGCCCAAAATCTAATTGCCAATTCCAAATTACTACCTAAATCTCAATCATAATTGAAACTTGATATAAACCAATGTCCTGTCTTTTGATTTCCCTCATCACATGCAATTCTAGGATTATTTTGATCTAGGAGTGTCACTCTAGTTTGGATTTGAATAATCCTTCAATCCATGAAATTTTGGGTTAGCCATTACAAAACTGTAAAAGTGAAGTTTATTTGGTATTGCTAGGGTATATTTGTAGTCGTGCACATGTTAACATGTACGCATGTCTTTTGGGTACAGGCTGAGTCTAAAAGTACATCAAATGAATCAATTTTGAAGGTAGCTTTAGATCATGGCAAAACTTTTGGTATAATAAAGCCACATGATCGAGTTGTTGTTTGCCAGAAAGTTGGTGACTCCTCAGTTGTGAAGATCATTGAGCTTGACGATTAGAAGTTGGATCGTTTTCAAGGTTGCATTATAAGATGTCCTTGTTTTAGTATTTTCTGTTGTATGTTGTAATAATGAACCAACTTAAAAGGTATATTAATAATGGGTTTATTACACTGGAAGAAATGCTCTCGGGTAATGGAGATCATCCATGGCCAGCATGCCAACTGATTGTAGAATAAAGCCATTTGACCCTTTTGTCAGTACATAATGCTGGTTCATTTTCAGTGGATAAAACGGAGTATAGATTGTTTCACTGATGTATCTATCTTAATTCCATGTGCTTGATTCTTTCATGGTGTATTAGACAAAGAGCAATGTTTATTTCCAACTTGTCACAATATGATTCACAGGTCTTCTCCATTCAATGTTCCACCACCAAGAATTATTTTGAGTTCTGAAGTCCTGCACTTGATCTTGCTACATTTTTTTTTCTTCATGTCACTAAGTTCTCTTCTTTTTCATTAATAATATCCCTTTTACCCAGAGTTCATAATATTGTTCACTTTGAATTTTAAATCTTCATGAATTTATTTTTTGTTATCACTTAAAAGGCCTTAAATCAATGGGGTATGAACCTTTTTATGAATCCATATTTCTTCTTTTATAAAGATGTGAGACTTTGTATCTTAATATGTTTATTGAGATTTTCTATCAACAACTGCATCGTTAGCTAATTCACCTTAACTAAGATTTTGATGGATGGATATTTCAACTAGTTTATTTCCTGGAACCTCTAATTAGTGACCTTGGTCGTGAATGAACTATCTTGATGCCAAGATAATGTATAAATTTGTTTAGTTCCTTAAATTTCAAATCTCAATTTTGAGGTGATTTATGGTTATAATTTTATTATCAAATTAATAAAAATACACTTGATAAAATTTTATTTGGATAATTTTAAATCACATGTATCTCATCTATAAATATGTATATAATAACTCTTGGAAGTTGAATGTTTTATGAACAAATATTTCGGAGTCGGAAAGTTTTTCTTTTTTTATTTTAGTTGATTCTTATATTCATTTCATTCAATCAATTTTACTTCATCCAACATATTTATTTGATGTGAAATCAAAGGACTAACATTTATAGAATTGTTAATCAACTTTTTTTTTTGTTGACAATGAATAATTCAAGATTTGTGTCCAATGTAGATGCCAACCTAAGTCCATGAAACCCTAATTAGTCACATCCTATAAGGAGCAAGAATTAAATAAGATATGTTCATGCCAGTAAGATTCTAATCCCTAGGCATCCATGACCTACATCAACCTAAGTTAGTGTAGTCCTAACATAGTTGATAAGAAGCAATAAACAAATAAGATTTATGCAAGTTGCGCATCGACTTTTGAGTTAGTAACCAAATAAGACTTATGTGTCAATTATCATGATTATGAGGGCTTCAAGAACAATGTCCAAGATACACATTGACTTTAGTCACCATGAACCTATCTTATAGAGCATGAAATTGAACATAATCGAAAGCAAAAGATGTTGCTTGATTTAATTATTATTTTGATTCTTATACTTTAAAATTTACCTTTTAATCTCATTTTAGTTTTCATATATAATATTTTTTAACATAATTATATTGTGAAGGTCACAGTTTGTTAATTACATATTGATTTTTTGGATTGGACTATCTTTATGTATTTAAATCCTAAACAGCAACACCAATTATTAAGATTTAAATACATAAAGAGAGTCTAATTCAATAAATGAGTTCATTAAATAAAAGAGTCTTACCACATTCAAATTTATATTCTACACTCTTAACATTATTAACATTATTCATCAAAGTTACTTTGGTTTATCAATTTAATTAGTAAGTCTTATTGTTGGTTGACATAAAGAACCAATGCTGATAAATGAAACCATCTTTTGAGAAATTCAAGACGATGACGCAACATATTAAATATGTAAGAGAGAAAAAATCAGGAGGAATCAAAATCCCAAATTCCTGTCCATGCTACTGAGCATTACTCATTACTCGTACACATAAATGTAAGTGAAGAATTTTTTATACGAGAAAATAAAATAACACATTTTAGAAAAACAGTCAAGTAAAAATATGAAGTATGAATGCACAAATATCCGTGAAACAGTTACTTAAAATGTTCCCTTTTTTGGGTGAAATTTATATTACAGCATCAACGTTTCTTTAATAACAGTTAGCTTCAACAGCTTGGTTTTGCAAAGCCAATTGCAACTAATTTCCTTCACAAATAAAGCAGTTGAACCCTGGGATAAAATCTAGTCCAGTTAGAAACCACAAAAAGGATAATGTGAATCAGTGTTCAATAAAGATTGTTACAAGTTCTCTGCATAAGGAGATATTGCAATGTAATTCAGCCAGAACGCCACAAAGTTTTGCAAACTATGTATTACGTATAATTCTAACTAATGAAAAGAGAGACTGTACAAAATCACAAACCAAACAAAAGGGATAAAAGTTATACTACCACCACACTTAATTATAAGCAAAAATAATTAACTTCATTAAATTAGTTAACATCATTTAATTTTGATAATCTTAATTAAAATATATTTATTTTCTTATACAACATTTTATTAGAACTTGACATCTATCCTTATATATAAAACATGAATGACCATCTTGCCTGAGACTATTTTTAAAAGTTTTTCTTCAACGAAAGAATCTTTAAGAATTTTCTTATCATCATATCTAATTCGATTTTTATTTATCATAATTATTTGTTAATTAGATTTTAATATTTTTAAAATAAATTATCAAAAAGTAAAAATAATCTCGTGTTATAATATAAATTATTTATCATAAATCTAAAATCTAATTTATATATTTAAAAATATCTATTTATTTAAATTTTAAATATAATTTATATTAAATTTTAATTATATATAATAAAACATTAAACTTGTGCACACATGTTAAAATTCTAGTTAAGAATAAAAGAGTCATTGAAAATATAATCTCAATAAAGTGAAAGGTAATTTGAAGATAATGATATTAAACAGAGTAAAATTAATTAAAAAAATTATATCTAATTTTATTATTATTCATTAATCTTGTTTTTTTTTTTTACTTTAATATGTTTTTAGTCTCTAAAAAATGAACATGTTTTGATTTTGATCTCTATAATTTTTTTTCTTTATTTTTCATCATTCTAAAATTTAGAAATTATTTTTAGTTTCTATTATTGTATAATCATTATTAACTACTTATTTATTCATTAAAAGGTTAAGTAATTATCTCTGGTACTACCTACAACTATCACTAATACTATATTAGTGTGCGACATCTCTAAAAAGTTTTATAGACTTTTAAAATAAATATTATTTATACATTTTAAAATCATCGTTAGAGAACAAGAATAATAATTTTACAAGGACCAAAATCAAAATTATTTATTTTACAAGGACTAAAAATATTTTATAAAAACTAAAAACAATGTTTAAAAATTTTAGAAAGATGAAAAGAAGCAAAAATTTTACAAGAACCAAAATCAAAACTTACTCATTTTACATAGATTAAAAATATATTTCAGTTTATATATATATATATATATATATTTAAGTCAGGAGGAAATTAAAGAGCTTTTAATCTTTATTACTCAAATGAAATGTAGAGTTTTCAATTTCATTGAACAATTCATAACACACTGATATGTACCTGAGATTGGCTTCAAAATCTAGAAGAATTGGACTGGTGCTGCTACTGGAGGCATATATAACACAGGCGAAATCTGTTGTTAAGATACAAAAAGCTAAACTGTTAATTTAAAGGTGATACTTCTATTACTACTAATAAGTTTATTTACATATATAATTACGTGAAAAATCATGTTGAAGATGATAATTATTTATTGATGGATGATATAAAACTTTTTACACTTAAGCTTATTAAAAATAAAAGAAATGTATGTACCTGAACTTGACGTGAGAAGAGGTTCTTCCATGTTTCAATCTCATCTTCATTATGAAGCTTTCTAATTCCTCCATAGAATCCGCCAGTTCGTTCAGCTTGTTCCTCGTACTTCTTCCTAGACAACCTTATTCGTCTCATGCCTGATGTTTCAGGGTATTGCCTGAACTCCACGATCAACGTTTCTATCTCAAAAAGAAACTAGGTGCAATTTAGATAGGTACCCATTGCCTCAAATTTCATGAAACTAAATTTTTATTTATTTATTTTTTATTCCAAAGTAAATCTGTATTTAAAAACAGCACATCCATAGATATTAACATATGCAATTTCACTTGCTTCTAGTCCAATCTATGAATTAAGAAAAAGGCTAAAAATTACTAAATTTTACTAAACTCGTTAGAAGCAAAAAAATTGTTTATCTTAGGATAACATTTTTCTCTCTCAGCCATTTACATTAATTTTGTTGATTGGTTAAAATTTATTCCAACACACTTTGCCGTATGTCAATGGGACAACATAGCATTACTATTTTTTTATAGGTATAAACTACATATATTTTTTAATTAAGACAACTTACGTAAAATCAAGTAAAATCATTATAGATAGTAAAGTTTTAACAAGTAAAATCTTTATAAATAATTTTAACTTTGATTATTTAATGTTGTTGCTAAACTTGAAATCAAAATTATCAAGTGAGTTAATCCACATGTTTTTATTTTTTTTTATAAAGATAAAAATTATTATAAAAACAATCACAATGAAAATTAAATTTAGATTTTTTACTTTTAATTATTAACTCTTCCTCATTTAAGCATTAGACTAATTTTAAATGATTAGTTGATCCACATGTTTGATAATAAACAACGTTACTTTTAATATGAGAAAATTGGATCCCAATTTTTTTATAGATATATTTGTCATATGTGTCAATCATATATTATACATCTTTTTTCTCTTCCTAAAATTTTTTCAAGCGTCTACTGATATGCTGAAACTAAAAACAACAAAGTGATTGTCGTGACTGTCTTCAACAAGTCGATTACTAACATATTAATATTTTCTTTTCCATCCTCTTTATTACTTTCAAGAAAAATTCACCCCGAAAACCAGAGTGTTTCAGGGTTCAAGGAATAAAAAAAAGAAAATTCTCACCGCTGCAATGACACTGACAATAAATTCCTTTCTGACACGCGTCCAAGTGACCAATAACAGCATACCACCAATCTGAAATACATTCACGTTATAATTGTATGCTATGAAGTTAAAAATAATGAATCTTGTCGCAACTTACATGGGTAATAGATTTTATTTGGCTAAAAAAAACATTTTGTTTCGTCATATTATTATTATTATTATTATTATTATTATTATTCATTTTAAGTTCATTCACTTAAGTTTAAAAGGATTTATTTTAGTCTTTAAAGTACCTATCAAGACTAAAATAGTCATTCGGTTAATTTACCACAATAACTAGGTCATATTTGATAAACTATAAGAGATTGTTAGTGTCACACTTCCGATCCAAATTTTTGTGATTAGGCCCAAGAGAAAGTTATCTAGCTCAGTTTGATTGAAAGATTATGTGTAATTTGTGTTTTGGGGCTTTATTATGACTTGTCTTAGGATTTGCTGTTTTCCATAAGGTTCTATGTTGTCATCTTGGTATGAGGTCCAAATAACTTGTTTAAATTATGAGATTTCTGTTTCAATGAATATGATGATAATTCCAAAACGTAAATTTTTCTTAGCATTTTCTTTTGTAGGGTAAGCTGGTTCTGCAACCATCTATGAGAGATGCTGCATTATATGAAGTTTAATTTGTCACTTCACTACAAGAAATTGACATTGACCAATTTAGTCTAATAAAATTATTTTAAGAGATAGATTAAAGTGAACCTTTTCAAATTTATTAGAAGATCAAACTAAGAAAAAAAAATCAAAATATATGCATTTTTCTCTTCTACTAAAATAATTAAGGCAAATCCATTCTATTAATGTCAAATATTATATATTAATATAATATATAAATTATGTTGCACGAAACATTGCCAAACAACATTTAACATCTTACCACAATGCATTTTAGCTTAATTATCATTATACATTTTAAAGATATATAATTTTTTTTTTTTTATATTCATTTCACTCACATCTTACAGCAACTCTATTTTAATTTTCATTAAGAGTATAAGGTGAGAGTAAGAGACAAAAAAAATGCCTCTCGCCCATCTAGAATTATTTTTAATTGTTATGTATTTTAATAATTGATGAAATTTAATCATTATTTAGTGTATCATAATCATTTATTTATTTATTTTAATAATATAGCTTAATGGTCAAAAATAAACTCTACATAAAAGTCTAGTCCATGAAAAATGATTTTATTTAATTTTAGTCTTTGTGAGACATTTTTCTTTAATTTTTATCTTTTTAAAATAAAAAGTATTTTATTTTTTTTAGTTTTTGACATTTACATAACATTTAATTTAAACATGTATATATATATTTTAAAGTGTCACATGAGATAATATATAAACAATTATGTTTTTATGTTAGTAAAGACAAATAACAATTAGAGTGTTAGACATATCCAAATGTACAACTTACCATAAGGACATTGTGTATTTCCTCTCCACTGAACCTCAATATGATCCTCAGGTTTCAAGTCGTCTAAACAGTCAGAAATGTGCATAGCATAAGGAGGTGAATCAAGTGTGGGAATCCTCACCATATCCCACTCAATATTCTTCCCTAGACATCGCCAACCTCCACTTTGATACCTAACATTAATCATCCACTTAATCACAAAAGTGGCATCTACTCAATAAAACTCAACAAACCAATAAGTCATTAACTTTACTTTCTCTGTCAAAAAGAAAAAAAAAACTTTACCTTCAACGTAACTTGAGAAAGGTGAAAGCATAAGCATAGTGTAGGGA